CTCCAGCCGCTGCCCTGGGGAGCCCTGTGCCACTGCTGTCCCTGTGGTCCCTGTGCTGCTGGTCAACAAGAGGCACGCGGGCTTCTGCCTGGGGAGGAGTTATTCTCCGGCCCTGCTCGGAGCTGGAGAGAGCAGGGGAAGCTGCTGCTGGGAGGGCCCGGCCTGCCGCCCGAGGAGGCACCCGGAGGGCCCAGGGGCCAAAGGCCCTGCAGGCGGCTCCAGAGCAGAAGGGGGGGGGGGGGTTGCTACCTGTGGCGGAATGACCTACTGGGTGGGGCGCCGGGACATCTATAAACTGTTTCACACACTCAGCCTGAGCCTGAGCTTGGCTGGTGAAGCAAATACGGCAAAACTCACACTACGCGTTAACTCCAGGTGTGGGATGTGCAAGCGCTCATTATAGGCCCCCCAAAGGCTTAAAGTTTCTCTCAGTAAAACAGTTCACAATAAACCGGGGCTCTAAACGCTGGAGACACTGGCCCCTGGCCCCTGGGGTCCGGTCCCTGGGGAAGGGGCCTGGCCTGGGTGTTTCCAGGGCCCCAGATCCTGAGGACCAAGGACACTCAGGTCAGGCCAGCTTCCCTGGGAGCCCAGACGAGCCCACGCAGATGGGCCCCAAAGACTCTGCCACTGCCCGGAGGGGTGGCCATGGCCGACCTGCCCCCGCTTCATGGGGCGCCGCTCAGTCCCCAGGCCACGGAGCTGATGTCATCCCAGCCCTGGTCCCACCCAGTGGAAGGGTGAGGCTGCCGGGACAGGACATGCTGGGACAGGACATTCCTGAGCCCAGGGGACGGTGCCCACTTTTCCTGGGACAGCTGCCTCTGCTAAGGGTTAAACCCAGTGTGGAGTGTGAGTCATTGGCTCCAACCTCTGCCCCTGCCCCTACAGCTTCCTCTGTCGCCCCCGCTCAGCCAGCACCCCACCCCCCAGCCCAGCATGCCCCCCTCAGCCCAGCACCCCAACTCAGCCCAGCACCCCCACATCCTGCCTTCCTGCAGGGGCCGCAGGAAGCAGAGGTTGGAATTAGTCTAGGGGAGGGGACCAAGGTGGGAGAAAAGCAAATGACAGAATTTCTATGTTGCCAAACTGCTGGAACTTGCCCCCACACCTACACAGACAGACACACAGACACACTGCCCCTCCACGGGGCAGATCCTTAATCAGCCCTGGATGGAGGCGAGGCCTACCCCTCAGACCGCTGGCACCATCAGGGGCAGCAAGCCATGCCCATGCCTCCCCCAGGGCCGCACTCACCAGGGCCTCCTGCCCAGAGAGCGTGGAGGGAGGGTCCAGCGCCTGCTGAGGGCGGCGGGCACAGGCCTT